TTTTTTTTTTGCATGAAACACACCAGGGAGACAAAATCCAATAACAGTAGGAATTAATTATAAATCTACGTTTTTTCATTCGAGTACATTGGTTAGCTGGCATAAGCCATTGGGGTAAATAAATATGTTTTAAAGAGCACTAAATGGATTTTTAACCAGGCTTAACGTAAGCCTTATAATCATAACATATTTTTGCTGCTGGTTTGCTCACCGTAGATAGTAATTTCCCAGTTGATAACACTATTGAGCAAATAAAGCCAATTAATAGCATTTATAGCCATTAATGTTAAAATAAATGTATTCTTTATCTTATTTTACTATTTAAATAATTTATTGGAAATAAATGCTTTCCAATTGTTTTTATTGAATATCAAATGAATGGCATTGCATTAATAGATTAATCACTGAAGATGTGTGGACATCGCATTTGTAAATCATGCTTTTATATGTTTTAATAGCTGTTGCCATAATAACTATGAAACAGAAATCAACAAGTTTGCGAATTATGTATTATTTATTTTATTTTGACACTTTTAATACTTACGGGTTTTTATTGAACATCAAATTGATGGCTTTAATTAATTTATAAGTAAAACTTTTTGTTGTATATATAACATATATATCTAAAAGGTAATTGCCAAAGTAAACATAAGACCGAGATCAACAAGTTTCCCAGGCGTTGAACACAATTTTCAGTTTTCCGAATATGACACGCATTTGCGTCATATTATGAATATTACGTGTATTTTAAATAACAAAGCGCAAACACACAGGCAAACCCGAAATAATGAAACCAGCCAACGAGCGGCGCTTATGCAAATTTTCTAGTTTCGCTTGTTTTCCGAAAACTTACCCTCGAATGAGGGAAGAGTGCAGAGTGAAAGCGAGACTAATGCAAACATTTGCCGCCTTTTAGCAGCATAATTTTCACATATGTATGTAGGGGAGTACAAAAGAAAAGCGTGTGTTTATGTTTCGGATGCGTTGCAAAATGACATCCTGTCACATTTCCCGACCGCTCTTCGCATGAGTGTGTGTGCCAGCATCCGGCGCAGGTTTACACACATATATATATATATATATGTGTATATATATAAATATATATGCGTAACTCTCTGCTTGTGTGGATGCGTGACTCTCAACTGTCAGTCCCGTCGATCCGTCCGTCGTCTTTCGTCCTTTCGCCCCGTCACTCCAACAAAGAACCTCACACGGCAGGGAAACGGCAACAGCTGCTCGACAATCGCACGTTTTATTTAAATTTCACGCACCCACACTCCGCGAAAAGAAAAATCCAGCACAGTGGGCCGAAAACAAAACTAAAATTAAGAAATCTGTTAAGGTGTCAACCCCCTCATATACACTACTTGAGTATTTATTCGACTTTTAATTTTAAGGACAATAAAACATAGATTTGAATCGCATTAAATCATGATTTTTAAACTGTAGATTGCAAAATTGAATTTATTCGATTACAGACAAAACATGCTGTAACATTTTAAATAAATATTTTGTTAGTTGATTTAAGAAAATTAAATTGATTTTATGACCTACTTCTAGGATACACCTTTAATTCAGTTTATCTTCAAGTATATAAGTACTCGTAGATATTTGGTTAAAGTTGGATAAACAATTAAAAACATTTTTAAAAATATTATTAATTCGTGGATAAAGCAACATATTTTTAAATAATTTTAGTTACTTTGTTATACCCACTTAGTTCCACTGTGCCATTGGGGCCATCACGTTAAGGCAGGTTAAATGAACAAATTCCCCGCACTCTCCTTCCGACCATCACGAAATTTCTTTCATCACACACATGCTCACCGGCTGGAGTTTTATACACATTTAATGAGACAATATTGAAATTAACATTATTTTTTATGATTTTGATTTTATAAGTAGGCACTTTGGGCTGTCGTAAAAGGACGGAATACGGAAGCACAGGATGCCGGGATGTGAGCGTGTGTGTATTTATAGCCGGTCTTTTGGAAAATAAGGGAAATAATAAAACGACAAAATGGCCCAGAGAGCTCGAACTAATTCCGAGCAAGATTGTTTTCGGGTTCAAGTGGAAACTCTAAGAATCCAATAAAACGTAAGCTGCGAAATGAATGGTCGCCAGGGCGTATGAGTAATGTACCCATCAATTTGTATCATTCAGATTATAATTCCCCTTATAAAGTCATACATCAATTTAAATCAACTCAGTTCGGGGATCATCTCCGCTGCCTTCACACATTCGACCCAACAGGACATAAATTATTTGCATAAAATTTTAATGTGGACTGCCATGAACAGGACTCTCGGTGGCCAATTTGGCTAAGTAGTGGCAAAGGCCACAGCACGGAGCAATAATCCGACGAGAGCTGGGCATTTGGGCAAAACCGCAAACTGCCAACAATTGGCTGCATATTAACTGTGAAACGTTGCTGTAAACATATATCAAATGTAAATATATTTACATTGGGCTGCGCAAAGGCCAAATTTTGTGAATTAAATTAATTGCTTTGGCTGCAGGTTGTCAATAGTTACTGCTACATTTTCCACCCTCGTAAAACGAGGTCAAAGTGGCTTATGGCATCAAATGCAATTATTACAATTAGGCCGATTCATTGCTAATTAAATTTCTGTTCATAAAATTTGCTGTCACATAAAGTTATCATCGAACTATTTAATTAAATTAAATTAATAAAATCAATTTTTTAGTCTTTAGCTAAAATTATTTTTCAGAAATCAACACCTCTTTATTGAGTTTCTCATTTTTTCCATTATCTCATACTCTGATAAAAGTAGTTATAAAAACACTTTCATTTGTTTTTCTTTTATTTCTGAAGTAAATAACATTACTATTAGGTATAAAATAACCCGTTTAATATTAAAGTATATCAATTGTTTATTTGGCGTACTCTGATGAGACTAATATTTTTGAGTTAAGTACCATTACGATTAGTTTTTAAAAATATCCTTTGATAAAAAGCCGCTTAAAGTTGCTAAATTTTTGTGAGATTATTGCTGTAAAATAAATGGTTTAACATTAAAATACAGATTAGCAAAAAAAAACACACTCCTTGCACATAAGCCATTTAATATTGCTTTCATAACTCTTTTACTAATTCTCTTAAATGGGTTATAGCAGACACATCCAACTGCCGCACATACGATTTCATATACGCACATTTTTGTGGAAAAACTTTCCGCAGCAAGCGGCTTTTGCGGAAAATGCAATGACATTGCTGTCGGGACGCGCCGCACTCACGTTCATAAATGTAATGCAATTTCGAGCTGAACTTTATTTAATTGAGTATTTCAGTGTTAAGGTTGTCCCCAGCACACAAGCCCAAACTCAAACTCAAACTCAAACTCCCGCGCGAACACAGAGATTCCCGGCACATGTCAGTTTTATGAGAATAGTTGGAGCTTTGTCGAACTTTGCGTTTAATTTCCAGCAGTGACTTCCACTCAAAGCTGGCATTTGTGGTTATCCCACACTTTATGTGGAGTGTGTGTAATTTGCTCGAGTTTATCCGATATTTATCTTTATGCAGCACATCCAATTTCCCCGATTGCATCTTCCATTCGATTATTATTTCAATTGGTATTCCGAGGAAGTAAGATGCAAGCGGATTGCAAGTGCATCACTGTATAATGCGGGCCATAAATAGTGGAAGCAACTTGCAGCTTGGCCATAAAAAATGCTCGACAATAAATAAGAAACAAAAAGCGTTGCATACACTGAGGCGCTTACAAGAGTTTATAACACCCATACATAGGGCATTATCTTCACATGGCCTCCTATTTCTGCGTGTGTTTGTGTGCAGCGAAGCATCGTTTTATTTATGCTCATAATGCTGCGCAATGAATAATTATGCAAATGGAGCGGCTTACGGTCAAGCCGCCTCAGTTGTTTCCATGTTGCCTGGGCCATGTAAGCCAACAAATTTGCTAGATTTTGCACAATTTGCTGGACATTCGAGAATGGAAAATCTTGTCATTTTCTGCAAAGAAAATAAGGCTCAACTTCAGTTGCGTTAAGTTGACCCAAATATATGCGGAACAGAATGGGATTTATTTGGCATAGTGGCTATTTGAAACTTATACTTATACTATATGTTCAATTTTTATATTTCTTTCGTATTTTAAACAACTTAATGGTGCTTAAAATAAAAACAAATTGTACCTACTTTTTACATACTTTATAAATATAATAGTTTGAAAATATTAATTAAAAACGAACCACCCGCATTGTTAAACCTATTTTCATTTTCCCATTTATTTTTTGTTCTTTATGCTAGAAAAATTCTTAAACGTCAGTGGCAAGAAAAATAATTATCACTGCGGCAAAAATGCAAAGCGCAAAGAAAAAGTTCAACTTTCTCGCGCCTGACAAAGTTTTGTTGTTTCCCTTGAGATGGAAAGTCTTGCACCCACTTCTACCCTACTGCTACTATTTTTTTTTTTTTTTGTTGCCCCGACCAACTTTTAGCTTATAAAACTTAGCCAAAAGTCTGGGCGGATCAAAGCTTAATCGCTGGCCGCTATATAAATCAAATCTGGGAATCAAAACAGAAAGTTTCGACTTGGACAACAAGTCGTAAGATTTCAAATATGTATTCGAGCTGCATAATATTTATTATCTCACAGCTGTTGACTGGCGAATAAATCAATATCGTATTAACTGCTTAGGCGGGCCGAAAAACTTTTGCCTAAATACCCTCAAAGCACATAAATAACGAGAATGTCAAAAACTTTTCGCCCCTCAGCTGCTCAGCTGCTCACAGTACGGAGTTTGTGTTTTTCCCATTTCGGCGTCAAGTGGACCGGACAACCAAGCCAGCGAGTGAGATTTTTCAGGCGTGCCTGTCAGCAGCACTTCTTGGCCATATTTTTTCGATTCCCTCTCGATTAACTTGAGACATTTGCGGTGCACACTCCTGAAATTAATTAAATAAATCCATCCAACCACCCACCCCGTTCCTTTTGATTAATGAACATTTCTGTGCGCTGCATTCGAGCTTTAATTGAATAACCGCAGTCGTTTAGTTGCCATTTCACTAACGTGGCTCGAACTTCAGCCAAAAGCCATCCTTGGGCTTAAGGCCATGTCCCCTGATGTTTTCCAGCATGTTTCGCGTTGTCTTTGCGGCCGGCAATAATCGGAAATTTAACACCAATTGATAGACAATGCACTTGATCTCCATGAGGGCCATTCGTTTGCCAATGCAATTGCGAGGACCCACTCCGAAGGGCAGGAAGACACTGCTCTCAACCCTACGATCCTCGGAAAAACGCTCAGGATCGAAGGACTCCGGATCCTCAAAGTTCCCGGGATCGCGGTGCAGCGCAAAAATGGGTATCTGCAGGACATCGCCTTTGCGGGCGGCAAACAACTTTTGTCCATTCTCATCGCACAAATCGATATCGGAACAGCACTCACGATCCGTGGACAGAGCTGGTGGCCATTTGCGCAGACCCTCCAGCACCACCATGTCCAGGTACTTCATCTTGGTCAGTTTGTCATAGTTGAGAGGCTGGCCATTAAGCTCCTGGTGTACGGATAGAATCTCCTCGAACAGTCTGTCCTGCACCGCGGGGTTCAAGCAAAGCTCATGGGTGAGGAAACACAAGGACGAGGAGATTATTTCGAAGCCGGCGAAAAAAAACAGCAGGCACTGAGCCAGAAGGTCCTCGTCGGTGAATTCGGCATAATACCGAGCATCCTTCGACTGATCCTGCAGATCGGCAAGCCGCTGCTGCTTGGCCTCCATCAGCAAGTGAATCATGTCCGGCCTTATCACTTTGTGCTCCTGCCGATACCTCATCGTTACGCTCACCAAACTGCTAAAGTAATCAATGTTGGTGGTGTCCAGGACCTGGATGCGAAGTAGCTGAAGTTAAAAAAGGATATATTTAATAGATTAGGATAGGCATTTTTAAAACACATACAAACAACACATAAAGCCATACAATTAGCCAACAAAATTTCATTATGTTAGGATAAGTTCTTTAACAAGGAATGTTATTTAATTAATAAAAAAATGTCTTAAAAATTGCTCAAGGCTATATAGCCTTGAACTTAATACATTTTTCTTATTTTTATTTAAAGCCTTGTTAAACCATTTTGCCTTAAATTTTGGAACAACGAATTTTTGTTTTCTTAGGGAATACATGACAATTTTGCCCATTCTTTTATTTAATAAATATAATAAATTCTTATATAAATCACTTTAAAGGAAAGAGAGCTTGGCATCATTTACTCAAATTTATATTTTCGAAATTAATTTGTTATTCAATAAACTTAGTCAAAATGTATAATATATTTTTGTATTTTGAATTTTTCGTTTTTTCGGTAAAGCATATTTCCGCACCTTAATTTTATAAATTATATATTTTTTTAAACTATAGATAAATATATTTAAAACAATGATCAAATGAAAAGTAAGAAACTTGAATTTCTTCCCATTAACGTAACCAAAAAAATCGATGGCAAACACAAAACTGTCAACAGAATCTATTGAAATTTGTGTGACATCTGGACAATAGATACCTTCATTAGCCTTGGGAACAGGGCGTGGAGTATAGCCTTGACCACCGACCAGGCGCTAATCTTGGACAGGGACTGTCCGATCCGAAAGAACTCGTTATCTTTGCGCCTGAACGAGTTGATGCTGAGCCCGAAGGCCACTGTGGCTATCACATCGTTGGCGAAACGCGTAAAGTAATCCTTCATTTCCAGGTCGATGCCCACCGCGTCCTTCGAATGTCCATCCATCTGCTCCCTGATGTGCAGCACCCCCTCCTCGCTGCAGGTCTGGATCAGGTCGTACATTATCCGCACTTTGCTGCCCGTAAAGGCGGGTGTCAGGATGTTACGCATCTCCCGCCAGCGACCATTCTGTAGGGAAATTAGGCTCTTCGAGAGAACCGATTCCTGGATATTATTCTGCATGCTATTGTGGTTAACAAAGTGGTCAAATTCCTTGATGCCAATTAGTTTGATGAGCTCTGGGTCTCGAATGAAAAAGACGGGATCTCTCAACGCGTAGATCCCATAAACCGGTGATCCAGGTGAATACTTTAAATTCATTTCGATCATATATTTAAGCACCGGAATTCGACCGAAGAAGCCTTTAATGGGTATATTGCCGATTAGGGGCCAGGGCTTTTCATGTGCCACGCCCCTTTCACTGAATACTTCATATTTAGCCACCGACCACTTATAGAACAAAACGAGCAGTATGGTAAACAATGACACCGCTATTATCCACTGATCCATGATGTCATATATTCGCTTAATTGAACCGCAAAAGTCGAGAGCTGGAAAAAGACTGATTTAATAGAGCATGTTGCCCTCCCAAAAAGCTACCAAAAGCTTTTATCAAAGCTATTTCTAAATGGTTATCAAGCGATCATTTGTACTTACTATATTAAACCGATAAGCATTATCTATCGGTAAATATAATATAATTTAGATTATATGCTAATTACACTATCGTTATTTAATGTACCGCCAAAGTGCAGTCAAATTATCAGCAAAACACATTAGGCAAATTGCCAATCGAAAATGGCTTTCAAATTTAATGAAAAATAAATCAAAGTGGCATAGGCTGGTATAACAGACACACAATTCGCTAGCCATCCTCTTCTCATAACTCAAAAAGAAATCAATATGAGGCAAATGAAATGCAGCGAATAAATTCTACAATTCAATGGCAAAAATATTGCAAAATCATCGGCAATTTAGGCAGAAATTGCAACTAAATGAGACCAGCTGGGAGTCCATGCCACCCGTGTGCTTCAACAGGAATTTTATAAAAAAAAATAATGTTTTTTTTTAAATACCCTGAAAGATACATAACTTTATTTTTTCTTAAAAAAATATTTAATTAAATTGGAATAAATTAAACAAGATTGTTGAGCTGCTTATAAACAACAAATGCCGATTCGCTTAATGTTGTAAGTCAAGTGACCAAATTAACAGATACAATTTAACATTAGTTGTTAAATTAAAAGATGGAATTTTGCTTACCCTTCTTATAAGCTAAAATACCCCTTTAAGAGTAAATCAACAAATCAGTTCCCCCCTAAAAAACTCTATAAAAGGTTTAGGCACAAGTATAATAGTTCAGATTTCGATTAGAAACCTTACCAAAGTCAATCGCCATGTTTGAGGACATTCAGTTGATCTACATGAACGTCAGGATACTGCGATTCTGGGCATTATTATACGACAGGAATGCAAAATGTTATGCGTGCATCGGTCTGGCCTCGTTCCACATCTTCACCCAATTGGTCTACATGATGAGCACCAATGAAGGACTCACCGGGATAATCCGAAACTCCTACATGCTCGTCCTTTGGATAAACACGGTGCTGCGTGCCTATCTTTTGTTGGCGGATCACGACAGATATGTGGCCTTAATCCACAATCTGACCGAGGCCTATTACGATCTGTTAAATTTGAATGACACGTATATATCGCGATTGCTGGTCGAGGTGAATCGGGTGGGTCAGTTGATGGCCAGGGGTAATCTCTTCTTTGGCATGCTCACCTCCTTGGGTTTCGGCCTCTATCCCTTATCCTCCAGCGAAAGGGGTAAGTCAGTCTTTTTTTATTTTTTCCAAATATTACGTAATTAGTATGTTTAACGAGCAAGGTTATCACACCCAAAAAAAAATTGTCATAGGAGCTAACCTATTGGATATGACAAATTTCTCAATAAGATGATTATTAAATTAATACTCTTCGGTATATAAATAAAACTAAAAGGAATAGGGATTATATTATTTAGTATTGAAATAATACGTACTTTTTAATACTGTGTGCAGTTTACTTTCAAGACATACTTAAAAAAAGTCTTTCAATTTGTGTTTTTGGGAGTACATATATTCCTATTTATTATGATTATATAACTCCATTCCTATTTGAAATCTTAGTAAAGGTGAATTAATAGATGGAAAATTCAAGGCTTACAAACTTACAAAATTAATTTAATTAATTAATTAATTGACTAACATTTGGAGCTTTTCATTGCATTTTTAAAATGTTTATAAAAAGATAAAAATTTTATTTGTTAAAACTTAAAGAAATTTAAAATTTCTACACAAAATGAAGCACATGAAAATTTTCATTTCTGCATTGAACCTTTCAGTTTGTAAGGTTTTTATTAAAGTGAAAATCAGATAGAATTCATTGGACTTAAAACAGAATTGTTTATTTTATGTCAAGAATCCAGTCCGAGCTTTTTATTAAATATGCCCTTTATTTTTCAAGTGCTACCCTTTGGCAGTAGGATTCCGGGGCTGAACGAATACGAGAGTCCGTACTACGAGATGTGGTACGTCTTTCAGATGCTCATTACCCCGATGGGCTGTTGTATGTACATACCGTACACCAGTCTGATTGTGGGCTTGATTATGTTCGGGATTGTGCGGTGCAAGGCACTGCAGCATCGGCTCCGTCAGGTGGCCATTAGGTATCCGGACGGAGACCGCGATTCCCGCCAACTGAAGGAGGAGATTATCGCCTGCATTCGCTACCAGCAGGGCATAATCGAGTATATGGATCACATCAATGAGCTGACCACCATGGTGTTCCTCTTCGAACTGATGGCCTTTTCAGCCCTACTCTGTGCCCTGCTCTTTATGCTGATTATTGTTAGTATTAATATACTCGTATGTCCATATATGTGAGCCACATCTATTTCCAATATTCCTAGGTGAGCGGCACCAGTCAGCTGATAATTGTTTGCATGTACATAAACATGATTCTGGCCCAAATACTGGCCCTCTACTGGTATGCAAATGAGCTAAGGGAACAGAACCTGGCAGTGGCCACCGCAGCCTATGATATGGAGTGGTACACCTTTGAGGTTCCCGTGCGCAAAAATATTATTTTCATGATGATGAGGGCCCAGCGACCAGCTTCGGTGAGTGATATATAAAATAACATAAATCCTTTTATAAAAACCGTTTAAAATTAAAGTTTCAAAGCATAGTTAAGCATTAGAAGTCCTGGAAATATCTCATTATTAAGCTTTTTCAGCTTTTAACTTTAAAGTACAAAAAATACTTTAATAATATTTCCAAAAATTAATACACAAAAAATGAAAAAAATCAAATTTATATATTCCCCTAGATTATTTTTTCAAACTGTGTATTGCACCAACGAGATTCTTACTAGCCACAATAGCACTTTTTAATCAACTTTTTTATCAATTGAAATTTCCAGATACTTCTGGGCAACATTCGCCCCATTACCTTGGAGCTTTTCCAGAATCTGCTCAATACAACTTATACGTTTTTCACGGTTCTCAAGCGAGTGTATGGTTGATCGAACAAGGACCAAATTGAAATATTTTATTAAATAGCTTAAACACGACATATGCACAAGCTCGCACGGTTCGCTTTTACTATTACCTCTGAACACAATCGAGCACATTTCACAATTGAATAAATCATTATACCAAAAGAAAATAGTTTTTTCGAATTTAGCTAGAAATATTCGCATTTTGTGTCATTTTTTTTTCTTTTTGTTGCGCACCATTTGCGGTTGCTGCGTATTTCACGCTGCGTTGGCCATTTTTTCACATCCTCTGCCAAAGGCAAAAAACTATATAAAACTGAAATCAAATACAAAAAAAAATAAAACGAAGAGGTGTGGCAAGTGCGCGATAAAAAAATTTGTTTGCTGAAGTTGTCAACGAACTTTTTTTTTGCGTCCGCTGACTTTGACTGGCAGTCGCCTAGGTGCGAAAACAGGGATTCTGCAGAATGCAGGATGCAGGATGCAGGATGGAGGATGCAGGATGGAGGAGGCAGGATGTATACCCAGCAGGCAGGTGACGAAAGGAGCGGGGGAAAACACATTTCAATTTGACTGCCACTCGGCAGGTGAGCAGCGGCATGCGAATCAGGTTCATTATAATAATGGTGATGGTATTAAAGCGCAATTCTACCGGCTCAACTTTGATTCTTTGTGTAAAGCAAATAATATGGTGAGAAAACCGCAAGTCAAAAAAAAACTATAATAATAGTGTCATTAATTCGCATTTTAATGAAGCTGCTTTGCTAAAATATGGTAATTAAAATGAAATTTATTGTTATTATTAAAAAAAAAAATGTCTGTTTTATTTATAACAACACTTCTACTCATTGCTTATTCAATTGGAAAATACTTTTAATTGAATCTGCTTTGCTAATCACATTTTTCTAACAAATTAAATTTTATCGATAAACGGATATTTGTACTAAAATTGGTTTAACTAACAAACGCCATTTAACACAGACTAAATTGAAAATACAGAGAATTTGATTTTAAGAAAATACATTTTTGATTTTCCGAAACATACTGAATTTAGATAATATATGAATTGATGGTCAGCAGAGCAAATGCTCGGTTATTTAATTATTTAGGTTGACATTGTGAGTCACAATTTGTGATGCATAACTTTTTAACTTGATAAAATAAATTATTATTAAGATATATTAAGCTACAAAATTACTAATAATTTAAGCTGCAGGTGTATTCTTTTTGTGCTTTAAGAACTACATAATGTTTTTGAAATGGAAAATGGGAAATGTTGTTAGAAAGATTTGAGCCGATGTGAAATCAAGCAAGTTTACAGATTACATTTTTTTTACATGTCTCATTTTCATGAAATGAGCACTCTGAACTTACAGGGACTCATAATGAAGTTCTATTAAAAAAATACTAAAATTGTATCCTTATATGATTTTTATTCCCCCTTTAGTTCCGAATAATAGTTCTTAACCAATATCCGATTGTCAATATTTCCCACTATTTACACCCAGTCTAAGAGAACGCCAACTTCATTTGAATCCTTTCCTTTTTATTAAAATTAGTAATTGGCTGTGGAATGGGAGGATTTGCCACCTCAGAAGAGCAGCGGGAGGGTGGAGGAGTCGTAGATCTCGTTGACGGAGCACAGGTTGATGAAGACCGGATTGCGTCCGCTGCGGCATTCGGTGGCGGAGCGATCGCCGCTCTGATAGACTGGGGCATTCACGTCGACCGCCCGCACAAAGTTGCAGGTCATGTACTGGTGGACACTGGTCAGCCATTGACCCGCCTCGTTGGTGGTGTTCTTCGTCTGCCGCAGGATGCCGCAGCCCACGTGGGTGGTGCTGTCCCGGACGAGCTGTGTGAAGTAGGCAATGCACTTGCTGACACGCAAGCGGAGGATTCTGGTCAGTGGTCAGTGGTCAGCTAAGTGAAGCCACCTATGCTATGGGAGAGGGCGATTCGCCACCACCTACCTGTTGCTGGGCGGACTGAAGGCGATGATGTCCCGCATGCTGCACTCCTTGTACTCGGCGAACATCTGCTCCAGCGTGGCCTTGATCACCTCGTCCTCGGTGTGGTATTCCACGGGGCCAGTGGGCTCCGGATTGGGGCCACCATTGGGATAGCTAGGCGGCATTGGATCCCCCTGCCAGCCGCCCTCGGCCACAACCTGGGCCACATTGCGGAACTGCTCACTATTCCGGCAATGATCGTTGACCAATGCGCACCGCTTCACATTCAGCTCGGCGAAACTGGCCAGCTCCTGATCCCACTGCAAAGTGGCCATCCGGGTGGCCGGACTGAAGCCCAGCAGATCGCCCCTCGCAATCCGATCGCGGTACTCGTTCAGCTCGTTGAGGATCATGGTGCGGCGTGCCGTCGTGATCCGCACCACATGCGCATCCGGACTGCAGGTGTCGGCCAGCTCCTGCAAGGACAGGTGGTCAGGGAAAGTTTTCAAGGCTGTCGTACCTCAACCATCTTACCCCAAAGTTGTTGCACGCTATGTGCCGCTCGGGACCGGGACACAGGGTCGGATCGCAGTAGTCGAAGGCCTGCAGCTGCCGGCCCAGCAGGAGCATCAGGAGCAGCAACAACGGCGGCCACATGGTGTCCAACATCTCGGCGAGACAGCCAGTTTAGCCAGCTCCGGCCACCTGAGGCTGCCTCTTATAGAGTTCGCAGGCAAATCGATTGGAGAGCGAGCGAAGCTATCAACTGCACCCACCGACTGACCACCCACCCAATTAGCCAATTGGACATGGTCACCATTGGACACACTTTCGTGACTTTATTTACGCTCCATCATCAACTCAACTGAACCGTCTGTGTCTTTTTTTTCTCCCTTAGTGCTGAGCGGCATCATGGTGTCCACCACCATACTGTTGGCGTCCACCTTCTCCTCCACGTTGCACAGGTACTTGTACATCTGGCTCGATCCGGTGACGCACTTCTCGCCGGGATGCGTGCCCAATTCGTACGCCGGCAGTTCGTTTACGTTGGCCCGTGAAAAGTGGCACAGCAGGATCACGTTCGACTTGCTCTTGGACCTGTTCTTCAGGCGGACGGCGCAGCCCATCCGGGCGCCGCGATCCTGGATCAAAGGTACAAAGTGGCCCACACAGGCGCTGAAATGGAAGCAAGCGGTGGTTATTATATGCTACAATAAAGTTCTTCAAGGTTATTAGACCCATTACTCATTTTAATGTTTGTTAACATTTTTTTTTCGACAGTGTTTTACCAATATACGTACATAGGTACACTTTTATAGTTTCTTAAATGAGGCTACCACTATTTACCTTTGTAATGATTTTTATTTTTCTGAACCATATGCTATTTAAGGTATTTAGGTACAGAAATATATTTTTTTTCAATATTTAACAGAGGTACTTATTTTTGAAAATACCTTGTACCTCACGTAGATCTAGAAAACTAGTACCTTTCCCAACACTATATATATAAAATTATATTTACTGAGCTAATATAAAATTTAAATTATTTTACAACAAGCCCATAAAATTCTGTTAAACTGGGACGATTCAAATTTAGGTTTTTTTTTTTAGCAAAATATCACTTTTATCAACAAACCGAAAAGCACACACTAATATTTAGACATAAATTCTAATACATTTTACCGGCAGTTGCAAATTTTTAGAGTTAGTTACTATTGAAAGTTTAATTTTTAAGAAATATTTTCATTATTTTTAGACTTTTATTTCCTTTTATGCAAGATTGTATTAATTAAAAAGTAAAAAAAAAAATGTTTTCAGTATTGGTATTTATAAAATTGACTTGAAAACAAATAAAATTTGACCACCAACATTAAGAAATGTGTTTATAATAATAATTTTTTAACTCAATCGACTGAATAATGGACTCACCTCTCGTTGGTGGGTAGAATCTGGACATCCAGGAACATTTCCGGCAGCAGTTTATCCAGGATCTCGTGCTCCAATTTGCTATACCGGCTCATCGTGCTCCGGATTTCGGTGGTGGCCACATAGTGATAGCTATCAGTGTTGGCGCAGTACTTTCCGTTCTCGTCGCACTGGCGCACCTGGCGATCGGCCAGCTTCTGCAGAGTGTAATCCCATCTCATTGTCGGCATGCGAGCGGCCACCGCGTAGTTACCCGCTCCACTGGCCACAAAGTTACGCAACGTGTTGATCCTGTCAAGAATGCCGAGTTTCAAGGCTCCGTTCACGTGCAACACAAGGTTGCCATTGCCGCACTTGTGGGCAAGTTGCTGGAAAAAGCTTTGGTTTAGTACCTCAAAAGGGGGAGATATACACCGCATCCTACCTTGTGATGGAAACAGCCCACATGGACTTCCGAATTAATGCAAAGATCTGGCCTGCACAGGGTGTGATTCGCTGAGGACAGGGCCAACTGGATTACCAAAACAAACAGGTACAAATACCACATCTTCATATCGACCAGCCAGCGTGGCAATTATTTTACAACTCAAGTCTAAAGCTATCTTAACTCCTACGTTTATTAGCCGCGGCATAACCAATTCAATTGAGGGCGCCTAATTGCAGGGCATTGGGATTGATATGCTCGTCGAGCGAACAGAGACCCTGATATATGGAGTGGGTTCCCGAATGGCACCGACTACCCGGATGCACACTCTCCCGGTAGACCAGCTCGTTGGCGATTTTTCCGCGGGAAAAGTGACACAGCAGTCCGTACTGATACAATCCGCCGCTGTGACTCCGTCTCATCATCATGGCACATCCGACGTGTGAGGCCAGATCTTGGACCAATTGCGTAAAGTAGCCACGACATTGGCTAAAAATCAAAGTTCGGGTAAGCATCTACATCAACTCTAAGCCACAAATCTCACCCATCTTTGGGCGGTCGCTCGGCATTGATGTGACTCATGGAGCAAGCCCGAATATCATCCATCCAAAATTGCAGCACAAACTCCACAATGGATCGGGGAGTCTTCTCCTGATGCAGCCACCTGCTGCTGCCGAAGATATAGGACACGTATTTGAACTCATCCGTGTTGCTGCAGTAATCGTCCATGTTTTCGCAACGCCTCAGGGCAAACTTGGCCAATCCGGCCAGCTCATCGTGCCACCGGAGCGTCGCCATCCGGGCAGCCGGACGAAAGGAGGAAAACCTTCCCAAGGCCACTGTATTTCGGAAATCATTCAGGATTCCCACCAACTGGGAACGCAGATGCATTGGGAACTTCATAATAACCGCTCCACTGCCACAGCTTTCGTCAAAATCCTGCAATGTTAGGGCTGCGTTACTATCGGTCTGCTTACAAATCCAAACTTACCCCATAGTTTTGACAAGCAATATGCGATATCTCGGGCTGGCACAAATCTTTGTTGCAGTAATCCGTGGCTAACGCCTTCCGGCTAATAAGGACTATTAAAAAGGGTGCTAGAAGGTAGAACATCTTGTGGCAGTTTCAATTGTACAAATAAATAAGTTTAATGGGGAAAACGACTTTACTTAAGCCGTGGAAAATTTATTTTAAATGCTCGAAAACAGCATGAAAAATGCATCATTTTATTTTCTACATAAACTGTATCTCACAGTATGAATATTTATCTTTCGAATTTCTGAGGGGAAAAACAATTTAAAGACTGATTTTAGTCCATATAATAAATTGAACAATTAGATTTAAGTTCAAAAGTACTATTTTACATCGAATGTGAACACTTAATTCGACTAAAGCTGAACTAAGCTAATAAAAAAGTATAATTCCAGAATATAAAATCTATAAAAAACATTGATTGCAAGCATAAAGCACTGGTAATCTTTAGAAACACGTTTAAGCACTGCACTTTTATTGGCAGCATCACTCGATTTCGTGAATTAATTGAAAACATGTAGGCATTTCAGGTTTTTGTGTGGAAGTGCGCATCGAAACAAACATGCTTCACATGTGATTGATGTGCACTTCGCTTATTTATTACAATTAACACTTCATAATGTTCAGTTTGGTTTTGTTTTTGGAGTTTCTTAATGTATAAATGTATAAATTAAAGTTAGGTTGCACTTAAGTAATATGTACATTTACACATACATCACAAGGAATATAAAAATGGCTCGTTGTGCATTCGCGTTCATTTTCGTTTTCCCCCTGGCCGTTGGGAAATGAATCGTTGACTAATTTGGAATTCATTTTGGAAATACATGATTGTGGAAGGTATAGAAACTAATATATATCCAGCAAAGTATAAAAGCTATGTCGACGCGGAAAAGAAGACTGAAAATCACTGACCAAAGTTGGGATTATAGGGCGCCTGCTTCTCATAGGCGGCGGGCAAGACACTGGGTCCCGGATTTGCCATGGCCATGTCGTACGGCGGAGGATTCATGTTGGAAGCCCCGGCGCCAGGATACGGCGGGTAGGCCACGCCGTGCGTCTGCATGCTGTGTGAAGAATATCAATTAGTATTTGCATTCGATTTCAGTGTTTCAAGGACAACAACTTACCCGGGCATTTGCATCGGCATAGGCATCTGCTGGTGCTGCTGGTGCTGCTGTTGGTGGGGCATTGGCATGGGCATCTGTACGGTCACATTGCTGCGGGTGAAAAGGAGATGTAGCAATAGTTTCCGTGCCAATTTCAAGCCGAACTTACCCGGTGGTCTGGGCTGGATATGGAGCCCCGTAGGCATTGCCCGCCGGATAGCCAGGCGGAGGCAGCTGTGTGACCGGATATCCGCCGGGGGCCGTGTGCGTGGCGGAGGTCACCACCACGGGCGCTGCAAAGAGCAAAGGCAGAAAAGGAAAATTAGAAACGGAAGAGCTGGGCCAATAAATCTGAGTCATCATCCCACTGCCGACCACAACCACGAGCACTCGAGTCGCAGATCCGATAAGCTTTCATATCTGATTAAACTCATCAACTCATATGAAAAAAATTCCCCGTTCAAAACCCTTTAGCACTCAAAAAATGTGTGTACTAATTTGCATTTGTAATCAAAACTTGCTAAAGTATTAACAAATGTGATAAATAAATAGCTTTCTTGTTATGACCTATACAAAATATCTTAAATTAAAATAAATTGTATTAAAATTATCATTTTGCCTTTAACAATTCAATTAAAATTATTTTTTGTAGTGAACGTATCTTGTTTGCGTTGTTAACTAATTTTAGCCTTATCGTTATCTATATATATAGCAACAGTAAATAACCATATTGTTCTTATATGATGTTTTCGAAATCAAATATATAGGGTGTCGCAATCCTAACATTCTATTCTTTCACCAACTAATTGACAAGAAATTAGTTATTACGAAAATTGATTTTTATAAGTGTAGACGTTTTGCCAATATATTCAACGTTCAGTCAATGTAATTACCACCACCTTCGCTGATTGTGTAGCCAACATTTCGCGCTGCCTTCTGCTTGCGCCTTATGTACACCACAATGGAGGTTACGATAAATATGATAAATGCTATAGATAGTGCGATCCAGAATCCCAACATTTTCGATAATATTACGGATTTAAGTTTGAAAACACAAACGCCTTCCAGACGAACACGAAACAGACTGCAAAGCTCACATCTGACAGACCCACTCAATCGGGCCATGTCTAATCAATGGCCGATTATATGGCCAAGTCGATAAGCGCCATAGGTGACAAAGTTAAATAGCACATACACAAGTTTTTCCGTACTCTCACTCTGGTTTTTTTTTATCACATTAATACTTGCAATGCACAATAGCTTTAAAGTTACATTAATGAAAACACTTTTTCTAAATTTGCGTTATTTACCCTGGGTTTGGAACTTCTTGGCTAAGCAATAGAAACTTAGGAGCATTAAAAAAGAAATCGCTACAAAGACTGAGAACGCTATGACGGGAATAAGAAACCCCTCCATGGTGAATATAGTTTTATTCGAATTTAGCAGCTGCTTCGCCAATGAGCTCCCGAATTTAACTGATTACGATGCATTGGTTTTTTGTTAACGACAGCTATTCGTAACCCAATGGCAATGTTATCGCTTTTATTTTTTGGGAGTCCCCGCACACACACACACACACACACCTGCCCCCTTCGTTAATGCCGCTCTTTGCGTTCGACCACGGGTCAAAAACACGGCCGCAGATGACATAGAGAATACGGAGATGGTGAAAAAGAGTATCCAGTAGATGCCCGAATCATCCATGATTTTGATACTGACTGAATAAGCGGCGCACAAAGACTAAACAAGAGCGAAGCAGTAAAGCTGCCGGATTGGCAATCGAAAAATGTGCCAGTAATGACCGAAGAAAAGGGCAATCGCACTCATAAAGATAGCACTTATCAGTGATAACGCCACTCACAACCATTATAACTTATTAGGTGTACAAGTAGAAAACCGCCGTTTTTCTTTTCATAGTTTGAGGCTTTATTGCGTAAAAATAGCTACATACTGATTATTTAAAATAGAGAGCTCCTGTGATGGATTCTTGTCTTGTGTCTGACAAGAATCTTCATCCAACAGAGTATCCAAAGCTGCATTTTCAAACTTTTTCACGGGACCCGGCCGATCCTTGTCTTCTACGTCATAATCACCATTTTTGAATTTCACGAACCATTCTCGGCACGTTCTTTCACTGATAAACGACTCACTATATGTTGCTACAATCATTCGACGCGCTTCGGCGGCAGATTTTTTCGAATGAAACGCGAAAAGCAAAATCTCCCACAAATTACGCTTATTCGGTTCAAATTTCGTCATCTTCGCGCACCAACAAAAAAATGGACAATGAGAATAAACGAGCGAGATGATGTGGAGTTGTTGACCGATACCTAAGCTTGCCATGTGATGCTTCTGATCGGAATTCCCCCACCGATTTCCAAAGGCAGCGCCACCCAGTGGAAAACGGCGGTTTTCTATAGAAGTATATAGTATATAGTGCACCCAATACTTAAATTGCCCAGAGCCTGGCAACGCTTCCAATGTAGTGCAACCAAACCGATCAAAACTAAGATGAATATTTTGCAAGTAATGCGAATTGAACTCTCCTTAGATTCCAGCAGATAACCAATCATATTGCGAATCTCTTTATTTTTGGCTTAGAAAGTGGAAGTCTTCCAAGTCGCGGGCAAGACTTAATGCATATAGCACAACTATGGCAACCAAAACTGTCAGGACTCCCGTCTCAAATGCCAAAAATGTCCAGTTGAAATGGAGACGTTGAAATATATCCTTAAACACATCGAGTATAGTGGCATTCATGCTGAGAGCCTGTGACCCAACTAAATAGGTTCCATAATCATAGCAATTCACAATTTAGGTCACCACATCAACCCTTAATGATCACATAAGCCACTAATATTCACCTATTTATAGAATTTTGTCACATAACAGCTAATTTAATCTAAAACCTTTCACAAAAAGTTGTATCAGTAAATATTGCACAAACATAATAAAAACGCCCAGTCATTAACCACTCCATAACAAGTCCTAAATCAGACCAAGATAGCCGTGATCCGGACTATTTCACCATTGGGCTCTCTAAGCACTTGAAGTTTTACAGCTCAAGATAATTGATAGCAAATAAGTAGTTTTGTTTATTTAAATCCTTGGGCAGTTTCCGACCTTTCTTCTTTTTGATGACTCACTTTAACAACGCTTTAGATTAAGATATATTAAGTAAATAACTACCATGTTTAGCTGATAACTTAAATCATGTTGCCAATAAAAATTTTATTTTTTGGACAATGACTTTAACTGTTCAACCATAAATAAAATTGACTGCAGATAGAAGGCAGAAGTATTATATAGTGGGTAATACCCATAAACGTATTATTATCAATTTCACTACATGGAGTTCATAAATCGGCTACAGAAGCTCTGAATGACGTCATCAGAAGCTTGAATAAATTAAAAAAAAAAAAAAACAAGTTCCCAAGTAAATGAGATGCAGTTATTGCTTTCATGTGGGTAAGCTTTTCCCGTCCGGTATTATCACTACTTAATGTGGCAAATACCCTAGAGTAAAAGTCGTAATTCAATATGCTTTTCCCGGATGTTAGTTCCAGAACGTTATGACTAATTCAAGAGCTCAATGACTGATTAAAACGGTGTTATAACTCATCTTACGGCCTAATCTATTATTTATCTATAGTGCCTTGTAATAGAAATTGAAGACTAGATATAGCATTAAAAAAAAACCAATTTACTCCTTCAGAGTGTCGCAAATGAATGGGTAAAACTATAACTTTTATATGTCTGATATTTGCATAAGATGCTTGCAGAGTTCACAATAGAGAAATTCATGTTGTGTACAATTTTTGGAATTACATATTTTGATGCCAACCACTACGAGTCCTCAAAATCAAAATCCTTTGGTTTTTTTATTATTAAAACAAACCCTCCATTAGCTAAAAACAAATTAGCCATATTCCCGATACCATAATTTTTGACTGGGTTCATAAAAGATTTTAATTTTTGAATAACTTTTTCACGTCTACTTACAGTCTATAGTTTAAATCAAGAGTCCCTACTCCGCGTCATAAGGAACAAAATTTATTTTTGCAATTTTTGACGTCTACTTACAGTGCATAATGACTCCAATTTTCACAAGGCTTCTTTTTTTGAATAATATATGGTATAGACAAAAAAGCCCAATAAAAAAGAGAATGATCAATATCGCTATTACTATAATTCGACCAATCTGAATTTCATGAAAATTTGAATTTTCCACAGAAGAAATATCAACATAGAGATAATTCATGATTGCACTACAAACGTTGCCAACGAACTGAATGATCAGAATGCAGAGCTCTGAATAGAATAAGATAAAAATAAGAGACTTTCGCCTATCTTAGTGATAAGCTTGAACCACTTTTTCTCTTAAGATATCATACCTTCCTCCTTACGTTTACAACAACATCGCCAACAACGCGTACAGCAAAGCCAAAGTATGACTATCGCAACTATAGCAGCCCGATGAAAACTTACTGGTAAGTTATTCGTATGTTTATTATGATCATCGATGTTATAAGGCATTCTGTAGATCTAGCGAACACGTTTGACCGCAACGAACTAAGCAACTAAACTGATTGATCTTTAAAATGCATATGCCTACGCTGAGCACTCTTCAATATCGCTTTTTGAAAAAAATCCAAGCTTTCAGTTGTAGATTGAATGGCAGATGCATTCATTTACATCCGTTACGACAGCAAAACACGTGACAAATTAGATTTATGAAATCATTCCTTAACTTACATACATGATTATTTTATTTTTAATTTAAAACTTAGCTACGGGCCTAAAAGACTTTTGATGCTGTTTGGTTAAAATGATGATTTTCTTGGCTTTGTAAAATCGTGTTATTAGGTTTGGGACGTTATTACGTTTATCAACTTCTTGCTGAAATCAAATCAAACACAAAAGTGATCTTTTTTGCAGTCTGCTTTTGGGCTTTTAGTTAGAATTAAACAAAAGCAAATGAGCAATTTGATTTTCTTTGAAAGCCAGTATTATTTTTTCAACAATCTTTATCATTACCCGCGGTCAAAGAAATAGTGGGGAAATGTGTAAAACAACTTATCTTTTAATTTATTATAATGCTTACTAGCCAACAAACAAAATTAGACTTAAAAACCCTTTATACCTATGACAAGCGTGGATTTTTATACTTGCCCAATTTTTCTTTTATAGTATTAGCAATTATTTTGACCGATTATAACAGTCCGAATTAAAAAACGATGCAAAGCATTGTTGCAGTATATTTTAACAGTCTTTTATCTTGGAGTTGAAGTCA